AGGGGCATCTACCACCCCAGAGGTTGGTGAGCTGGAAGGCATCCTGGGTTTGGGCATATTGGATGCAGCTCAATATTCCTACCAGTGAAATTACAGAGTAGTAAGGGATAGTCACCCAAACTATAGGGAAAAAGGAATGATAGGGATCTCACCAGGGTCCAGACCAGAGGCACACAGACACACACAAGGTAGTATGAAAGACAGGAAGTCAGAAATTGCCGCCGCGTGTCTCGCGAGATTCGCGGCAAAACCAGTGAATTTGACAATAGAAAAGAACCGAACGTGCGGTAAAATAGGCGAATTCATGTGAATAAAACAGATGAATGTAAAAACAGGCGAATTAGTAAAACGCACGAACCAATTAGTCGAACGCGGCAAATAGGCGAATGTGCTATATGTCGGTGAAACTAATGAATGGTTTGGATTCGTGAATTTAGCCGGACGGCAAGCTTCATGCACAAAACAGCCGAACAGAATGGAGAAAGCAGCGCAAAATGGCGCCAGAGGACAGGGAGAGGAGAGATGGCGAGAAAAGGAATAAGAGATAGGAGCAATCATAGAAGAAATCAAACTGAGAGTGCATAGATAGATATTTCACACAGGAGGTCTGGAACCCTGGGAGACAGACAATATGTGTATACAGAAAAGACAAAGATGTTAACTGTTCGTGCTATGCTTTATAGAGTACCCAAGGTTTTAAAGTGTACCCTTACAAACACTTAAAACACAATAGTGAAAAAAAGAAAAAAAACAAAAGGTACAGAAAAATGTGAATCACCAAAGTGACAAACAGTAATAAATTAATACAAACTGGATTATGTGGAAATATTCTGTCTCAGAAATATATCTGGAAAATACATAGAAAATATATAGTGTAATATTGTTACAACTACATCGGAGCAAAGGTGGTAGAGAACTCACAAAATTAAGATGAGATCAAGCTTATCTCCCTCAATGTATAGGGAACTGAAGCAGTATAGAGGACCTCATCTTAATGCTTGATTAAGATGAGATCAAGCGTATCTCCCTCAATGTATAGGGAACTGAAGCAGTATAGAGGAGATCCTCTATACTGCTTCAGTTCCCTATACATTGAGGGAGATACGCTTGATCTCATCTTTTTTTTTTTATCATATATTTTTATTTTTTCAAAATTTTCACAATTTACATATTGCAATCATTTCCTCTATTACAACTTTTACATTTCTAGTGTATTTCCATATAAAAACAACATTTCAAATATAAAACAAATTAAGTTTCCATATCTATAATTCACATGGGTTGCAAAAAGAGGTGTAATAAAAAACCTAAAACATTCCATTCACACATGCATACTCTCCCGAGGGACCAAACTTATACTATCCAATTTTGCCCATCCTACACATTGGGTACGTTGTTGCTAAAGTTCCTCGGGGATCAATCTCGCATTCAAGGAAGCTAATATCCTCAGAATTATAAGTTCTCCTAATTAATAGTGAAATTATTAACTATTGTTTCCCAGTTACTATATTTCTTCAGACCTACAGAATTACCTAGAATTATTCCCTTTTCCATCTTACATTGGTATATAACCTGTGTTTTAATTTCACTCCACTGTATTTCTTTTTTACTTTTCCAATTTCTAGCCACAGCTAACTTTACTGCCATTAAGATATGTATTATCAACATGCATTTCTCATAGGACATAGAAGGCCATCCCAGATGTAGCAAAAAACTTTGTGGTGTAAAGGGTATATATAGCTGACATGAGTGATAAATCTGCTTATATACCACCTTCCATATATTACTTAAAACTTTACAATGCCACCAGATATGGAGATAATCTCCTTTCCCATCTTCACAACGCCAACAGAAAGGGCTCTGATCTACATATATTTTGGCCAGTTTTTCTGGAACCATATACCATCTATTTAGGAGTTTATAAAAATTCTCTACTATATTCAAGCAATGTACCGATTTATTAACTCTCTCTATCGCATTTGTCATGTCTTGCTCGGAGATTACCATTTGTAAATCTTTTTCCCACTTAATCTTAGATTTCCAAAGAGGGAGCTTCAGAGATGACTTTAGAAATTCATAACATCTAGAAATATGACCTTTGTTTCTATATGTTTCCACGATCTTCTTAATGTTACTTATATTTTTAACTGAATATCCAAGAATTTCGCCAAGTAAAACTTAACTCTTAAATATGTAAATACCTCCTTACTTTCAATCCCAAACTCTGCCTGTAACTGGCTAAATGACTTAAGATCCTTTATATCTATAATTTGTTGAATGTACTTAATACCTTTTTGTATCCAACCACTGATATTAATATCTTCAATATTATAATTAATCACCTCTAAGTGTAGAAAAGGGAATATTCTATATTCTATTTTATAATTTTTCTTAAATTTATGCCAAAATCTCCATATACTATCTATAATTGTCGAATTTTCTGGGTGAACCAAATTATTTTTATTTTGATTCCTCCTTGCTGTCCAAAACAGAGCAGATAGGCTGTTTGTCTCTACTAATGATTGCTCTATATGATACCAAGATTGATCTTTTTGATCTATACTTAACGTGTTAACAGTGTTGACCAGCATACATGCGTTGTGATATTCTATTATATTTGGAGCAGCAAGGCCTCCATCCTTTCTTTTCTTAGATATTAACTGTAAGCTTATTCTTGGTTTTTTACCTTTCCAAATAAATTTAGAAAAAGCTGACTGTATCATTTTTAACCAAAGGTTGGGGACTTGTATAGGTATCATTCTAAAGAGATAATTCCATTTAGGCAAAATATATGAACGAATAGTATTTATACGACCTATCCAAGAGATCTCCCTACCGGCCCATTCTTTTAGTATTCTATTTGTATTTTTTATAAGAGGGAGGAAATTAACTTCGATAACTCTATTTATATCTCTTGATATTTTTATACCAAGAAATGAGATATATTCCTTAACCCAGACAAAATCATAAGATATTTTAATAAAGCCCTTATCTTCCCTAGGTAAATTAGTTGTCATTATTGTGGTTTTATTAATATTTAATTTATAATTTGAAAATACACTATAATGGTCTAGTGTTCTTATCAATTCCGGCAATGATGATCTAGGATTCTGCATCATAAGCATAACATCATCAGCGTATAGATTAATCTTATGTTCTAAGTTTTTAAACCAAAAACCCTCAATCTTTCCATTTTGCCTTATATCTTCTGCAAGAGGCTCAATGGTTAAAACATAAAGTAACGGAGAAAGAGGACATCATTGCCTGGTTCCGTTCTTAATAATGAACCAATCTGCCTCTATCCCAGGGCCTATAGTCCTTGCCGAAGGAACAGTGTATAGTGCCATAATGGCATCATAGACTGTTCCTACTATACCGTATGATTTTAATGTATTTCCCAAAAAATCCCATCTGACCCTGTCGAACGCTTTCTTAGCATCCAATGACAGGGTCAGAAGGGGGGGCTCTTTTCTTAATTGCAGCATCCTGTACATCCATTATTCTTCTTAGTCCGTCTGATGGTGCTCTACCATGAATAAAGCCGGCTTGATCCTGATGTATTAAAGTCGGAATACATATTTTTAATCGATCTGCAATAATTGAGGCATAAATCTTTACATCCCCATTTAGAAGAGATATTGGGCGATAGTTCACCAATTTGGCTGGATCTTTATCCGGCTTCAAGATAGGAACAATATTCGCTTGAAGCATCTCCCTAGGGAACGCACAATTTTCCACTATTCTATTAAATATCCTAGCGAGACGAGTCGAAAGGGAATCTTTAAATATCTTATAAAATTTATTTGAATAGCCATCTGGGCCAGGGGCTTTGTTTATCTGTAACTTGTTTATAGCTGCTATAACTTCCTCTGAGTTTATTGGTTTATTTATCTCATTAAGTTGTTCTCTAGTTATTTTTGACATTTTTTTATTTTTAAAGTAATCCGAAGATGGGGGTTGTTGTCCCACTGATTCTAAATTATATAATCGACTATAATAGTCATTAAAAGCTGACCCTATTTTTTTCGGGCTTAATATCGTTTCTTTTCCTACCTCGATTCTATGAATCTTCCTCATTTGTTTTTTATTTTTCAATTTATTTGTAAGCAGCCTATCCGCCCTGTTACTCTTATAATACCAATTAATCTTTAAGAATTGGAGATTTCTCTTTTTCTCCTCAAATAATAATTCATTTATTCGATTTTGCAATAATAGCATTTTTATACTTTTCTCCTGAGTTGGTAAAATTTTATTTTCATTCGATAGGTTATAATAGTCTACATATAAGTCCTTTAGGGGTCTTCCTTTCTTTTTTTTATCAATTGTACCTAGCTTAATTAAGTAACCTCTAATGACACATTTATATGCATTCCAAACCATCGGAAATGACACTTCACCCCCCTCATTTTCCTGAAAAAAGCTATCTGTCATCTCCCCTATATAATCTCTATTTTCCTTACTGGAGAGAATATTATCATTTAATCTCCAATCAGTTCTTCTTGCCCTATTATCCACTATATCCAACTCCAGGATTATGGCATTATGATTGGACCAAGTTACTTCATCTCTAAGGACTTTTTTAGTACTATTGGTAAATCCAACACTGCCCAGAAATAAGTCAATTCTTGAGTATGAGAAATATGATCTGGAGAAGCATGTAAAATCCCTCTCCAGTGGATGAAACACTCGCCATATATCCATAAATCCATATTTCTTAATTATCCTTTGAAATTGTACAGCTTATGCAGTTGACCCTTCAGGATTTAAAGTTTTCCTATCCATATTTACATCTGGTATCTGATTGAAATCACCCACCAAGAGTAATTTACCCTGCTTTATTTTATCTACTTTATCAAAAAGATCATAGAAATATTTATTAGAGGGGTTATTAGGCGCGTACACATTTACTAACGTATATATTTCTGATTGGATATTAATTATCGCTATAATAAATCTAGCTTCTGCATTTAGTTCTTGATATATGATTTTAGCATCCAAATCGTCACTTATCATAATGGCTACACCTCTTTTCCTCTGACTCTCTAATGTGGCAGATATTACTGTTGAAAAACTTTGTGGAATGAATCTTAACTTATCATCTCTCTTCCAGTGTGTCTCCTGTAGAAAGATGATATGAGCTTTTTCTTTCTTAATGTAATCAAACAGAATTGCTCGTTTACTAGGGGAATTTAGACCTTGAACATTTAACGATATTATTTTAACCATTTCTCTTTTTTAATCTATTCTTAGGTTTCTTCCAAATCTGATATCCATCACCCATATACTTGTTGAACTTATTTCTAAACTTCATTCTATTCTGAGGATGAGCCCCCACCCCAACTACCACTTTCATACCAAACATACCCCATCCTCTCATATACGAGAGGCATTCATTCAGCAAACCCTGGGTGTTAACCTCTGGGTATAGATCCAAAAGGGAAAAATCCCTTAATTGGAATCTAGTCCTCATATAGAAAATTCCTAAATGAGGAAAAAAATAAAAGCTGAGCTAGGAACGTCCCTTAATTTTACCTATTTTCTTCACCTTCTACCATACCGCATCTTTCTCCATTACCTCTCCCCACCAAGCATTAATTACAGGGCTTTTCTACATCAACATTTTAGTCTCTTCTGTATATTTTAAAGAATCTGTCCAGTTCTGTCCTCTTCTCATTGTTTAGAAATTCCTACCAACTTTTCCCAAACTTCTAACTTAAAGACTATTTGTAAATTTATTACTTACTTACTAACAAAGATTTCAAATTTTTATTCCCACGTGCACGTATTTTATCTTTCTATATTATCAGTGAAATTTCCGTATTTCAAAATTTTTAAAAGTATCCTAAAGTAACTCCAATAGTCATAACTACTATTTCAATGCTTTACTCTCTATAATTGTGATTCTACCTCCATTAATTTAATCCGTTTGTGTAAGTGTAACTTATATCTATGATTTTTTTTTTTTTGATTTACTTTTTTTTTTAGTGCTACATCGTGAAAATAATCCACCTATCTTGCATATTTAACTTTACAAATTATTAAAAATTCTTACTATCATTTTTTCTATGACTTATATTACTCTAAATATTTTCCCTCGTAGTGAACTTTTTTTCACCATCCAACGTACTATTTGATCAATGATTTGATCATAAATCACAGAAGTGGTACATATTCCATTAACAAAACTATTAAACCTTTCCCAGTGCAGTTTAGTAGGGGTTAAATCTAGATTGGTCAGAGAGCTAAATCATACTTATTCAAATTATTGCCATAATTAAACCAAGTTTTCCAACCACTTTATAACCTTATCCAATGAGTCAAATGTATGTATTGTCCCATCTTTAGTGACTATAAGTTTAGTTGGGAATCCCCAACGATATTTTAGATCTTTTTCCCTCAAACGCAGGGTAGCTGGAATAAATTGTTTTCTCGCTTGCCTTGTCTGGAAAGACAAATCTGGAAAAACTTTTATGTCTTTAAATTTGCCTTGTTCTCTTTCCGTTTGTCTTGCTGCTTTTAAAATGTTTTCTCTAAAGGAGTAAGAGTGGCAAGCGATAATTATATCTCTTGGGAGATCTTCTGGAAGTGTTCTTGGTTTATTTAACCGATGAGATCTTTCAAGAAAGTCCCTTTTATCGTCGATGTTGATTTTAAAAAAAAATTCCGCAAGAAAATTTGCCAAATTGCCTTGTAAAATAGATTCTGGTATGTTTCTTATTCTTAAATTATGTTTTCTTCCTCTGTCTTCTATATTAGTTGATCTCTCCTCCAGTTCATTAATCTTCATTTGTTGTTTCTCTATACATTCATTTTGCTTCTGTATGAGAAATTCCAAGTTTTCTATTTTCTGTTCATTTATTTTAACTTTTTGTCCAATGGATATTATTTCCTGCTTTAGATTTGCAAAGTTCCCCTGCATTTCTAATTTTATTTGATCCAATTGTTGATCTAGACATTGTTTTAAATATGCTTGAGTGATCGTTGATTCCTCTGGAGATTATTGTGCTTCTGTCTCCTTTAATTCCCCTGTGTGCTTACTTAGAGGCATTTTGTTTGGCGTAGAAATCGAAGAGGATTCCAAAGTGCTTTTATCTACTGGAGCGTTAAAAAAATTTGACCCCTTCAGCAACCTTCAGCTCGGCGGGAGGGGGCTATGATGGTGGGGGGGACCTAAAGACCCTATAGTGCATTTCAAGGTATGTAATGTACAGTGATTTGAACATAGTTAAAGGACCACTAAAGTGCCAGGAAAGCAAACTCGTTTTCCTGGCACTATAGTGGTCCTTTAACTGTGTTCAAATCACTGTACATTACATACCTTGAAATGTAACCACAAAGTGCATAAGTAAAAACAATTAAAAATATATATATTTTTTTCCTTCATTCTTTGAGTAATCCATAAAGTATATTTTTGACACATCTGTACTGTGGTTCAACTCACTGAAGTCTTCTTAAAATCTCATTGAATTTGAAAAGTAAAATTAATTACTGGTAGATAATATATCTTATTGATTATAATCTGTCTGGTTTTCTTTGTTACACTGTCTTATTGTATGAGCTAAGTGTTTGTACTATTAATATGTGACAGCTCTTGATATATACATGTCTTTTACACACATTCAGCTAATTAGAGAAAATGTTGTGATACTTACCGTAATTTTCGTTTCCTAGCTATTATTCATGGCAGCATTTAACATATGGGTTTAGCTCCTCCCTCTAACCCTCAGGACAGGAAACACAATCAATTAAACAATTAAGCATACCTTCCCCTAGTATAATAGGGACCCCAGTAGCATCCACACCTCAGTTCAGTAACAAGACGAATATACCAAGAGAGGGTGGGAAACCAAATGCTGCCATGAATAATAGCCAGGAAAAGAAAATTACGGCAAGTATTAATAAATTTTCTCTATTCCTGGCTAATCATGGCATCATTTAACATATGGGATTCCCAAAGCAATAACCACTCAGGGAGGGTAATTCATGCTACAAAAAATTGTTTAATATTAACTTAAGGCTTATAAGAGTTCAAGACCGATAGGCCAAACTCTGAATCAGAACGAGATGAGACATCCATTCTGTAGTGATGCACAAAGGTTTTCAAAGATGACCAATTGGCAGCTTTACAGATGCTCTCTGCAGGGACTCCTGACTCTGCAGCCCATGAAGTAGCAATGGACCTTGTGGAATGTGCCTTGATGTCCTTGGGAACCGGTACCTGTTTGGTCCTCTATGCGCTAGAAATAGCCTGAACTGTCCAGGAATGAAGGGTTGCGACAGAAGCAGCTTCACCTTTACGAGAACCCCAAGGTATCACAAAAAATTGGGGAGACTTTCTCCAAGTAGCTGAGCGTGCAATATATGTGGAAATACACCTCTTTAGGTTAAGTGTATGACATCTTTCTTCCTCAGGAGTAGAAGGTTCTTGAAAATACCCCGGCAGGACAATCTCTTGATTCAGATGGAAGGATGTAACAACCTTCGGAAGGAACTCAGGTCTAGGCCGTAGCACAACTCTATCATCGAAGAAGGTAGTGAACGGTTCCTCAGATGACAGTGCTCTAATGTCGGACACTCTCCTAGCAGAGACTAAGGCCAGTAACAACAGGGTCTTTAGAGAAAGAACCTGCATCGGGACCTAATCAATAGGTTCAAAGGGATGTTCCGTTAAGGCCTGCAGAACCAGAGGCAAATTCCAAGGAGCTGAGAATTTCTTGATAGGAGGTCTAATCCTAATGACAGCTTTGAAGAAGCGAATCACAATGGGATTTAATGCCCAACGAATACCAGAAAGAGCTGAGCAGTGTACTTTAAGAGTGTTAAGTTGAAGGCCCCTCTCCAGGCCTGCTTGCAGGAAGCCCAAAACCTGAGACACGGAAGGGGAACCTAAATCTTGAACTATGGAATAACTCCATCGTGCAAAGGCTTCCCATATCTTATGGTAGGTAGAGGAAGTAGACAAATTCCTAGAACGTAACAGGGTTGAGATTACCTGGTCCAAAAGACCATGGTCAACTACAGATTGCCTCTCAATAGCCATGCATGCAGCCTGAACTTGTGAGGCTCCGAATGAAACACTGGACCCTGAATCAGCAGATCTTCCGAGACCGGAAGCTCCCAAGGCAGGTCCCTTGATAACCTCTGTAACAGGGGAAACCAAGGGCAACGAGGCCAGAAGGGAAGAACAGCTATCACCTTGCAATGTTCCTTAGAGATCTTTCTCAGAACAACGAGGATGAGGGGAATTGGAGGAAAGACGTAGGCTAGATCGAATTCCCATTTGATGGATAGAGCATCCTGAGCAACCGCCTTTGGATGGTATCTCCTTGAAACCAAGCACAGGACCTGGGTGTTGTGAGTAGTTACCATGAGGTCCACTTGGGGAAGACCCCACTTCTGGACCAACCGAGCGAAGATCCTCCAGAAAAGTTTCCATTCTGATGCTTCTATCAGGTGTCTGCTGAGGAAGTCTGCTAACACATTCTCCTTTCCTGGGAGATAGGTAGCACACAGGCCCTCCACATGAGTCTGAGCTCAGGTCATAATGGGAACGATTTCTCTCATTAGGGCTACACTCCTTGTCCCACCTTGATGATTTATTTAGGCAGCAGCCGCTTTGTTGTCCACTCTCAACTTGATCCAGGAATGCCGGATGATGTGTTGAAAATGAAGAACTGCCAGAAAGGTAGCTCTCAGTTCCCTGATGTTGGAAGGCAAACATTGGGTTCTTGGAGGCCATTTTGCTTGAAAAAATAGATTCCCTAAATGTGCCCCCCTCCGATCTGACTGGCGTCTGTCGTAATGACCACCCAATCTATTTCCATCAAGGGAAACCCTCGGGAGATGTTTTCCCATGACATCCACCAAAGGAGCTTCTGTTTTAGAACAAAAGGAATGCGGATCAATCTCTCCCTATCCCTCGAGCTGGTCCTGAAATTCTTCAGAAAAAATTGTTGAAGAGGGCAAAGGTTCCACAGTGCCCATCTGACAAGCTCTATTGGGGAGGAAAGAGTCCCCAGAAGTCTCATAAACTCTCTCGCCGAGGCTGAAATTTTCAGTCTGAAGCTCGTTATACGATCTTGAAGTATGAGCTTTCAGTCGTGTGTGAGGGATACAATCGCTGTGTCGTTATTGAAATTTGCTCCCAAGAATACCAGTTCTCTTGATGGATGCAAATGACTCTTTTCGTGATTGATGAGCCAACCGAAATGAGAGAGAGTGTCGAGGACTAGTTGTCTGTGTTGTAACATGGATTTTAAGTCCGGGGTCACTACCAGGATGTCATCCAGGT